CTCTCTCTCTCTCACTCACTCACTCACTCACTCACTCACACACACACACACACACACACACACACACACACACACACACACTCACTCACTCACTCACTCACTCACTCTCTCTCACACACACACACACACACACACACTACCAGCGACAAACAGACTCAAGCTGACAGTTTATCATCTACACATATAAAGTCATACAGACGTTTCTCCGTGTTTTGTGATAAACGCGCTCCCGCGACGCGGAGAAGCCGCAGCATCCCGCTAATATTCCTCAGATTCAAAGTCATCTCCACGGTGAGCGAGCGCCGGAAGCACGATGTGAGCAGAGGGCGGGAAAATACCTTCCGACGAAAACATCGCCACAATACAAAGGTTCCTAGCTGGACTTTCTTCTTCTTCTTGCGTTTTTAATGGCAGTTGACAAACCAACGTACAATATAGCTTAATTTTTCTCACACTGTACAACAATAATTACTATTTTTGCATTATTGTAAGAGGCAGGTTTAGGGCTGGGGTAGGTGTAGACGTTAATAAAACACAATCTAATAGGTAGAAAATTCAATTTATTGTTAACTTCCGGTTTTTGCTGTATTTGTAAATATGATTTGGTTTCAGATTTTTTCATTGTTTTTATTTATTTGTGCTTGTTTAAGAATATTTAGTGTTCTATTATTTATGTACTATATATATATATATATATATATTTACACATCATGAGTATAATTTGTCAGACTTTGTGTGGTTCCTAAAATAACCTAAAGTGAAATGTCGATTATGTTGATTTCAAATAATCCCGATGCCCGTTTTGACATCGTCACTATGCTATTATTTGTTATTCTTTTTTTTGTTGTTTTTACATTTATTACGTACTTTCCCCACTCGTTCAAAGTTGCAGGACAAAAAGAGAATAAATTCTGTCCGCCAAACTGAAGATATTTGCGAAGTCTCTTCATTACACGACGAACAAAAACGCGGAGAAATGCTTTGAATTATATGCTTTGAACTTGTTTTTGTTTATAGAATAAGACCCTCGTCTTTCTTTTTTCCTGTTTTATTCTACTTTATCTTTACGTTGTGGTTTTCCCCCTTTCTTTCTAACGGCTGTATCAGCACTAATAATATGTTTTTAGTTGTTGAAATGTGCTGTTAAGGTTTGTAATTGAACTTGATGCCTTAATAAAAAATAAAATAAAATAACTATAATATGGTGGACAGTTTTTATGTAAATGTGCAAGTTTTCCAGTCTTTTAGCCGCTAGAAGTAAATAACTAGAACAATAACAGAGCAGTAAACGGTAAAACTCATTTCGTTACAAACCATGGTGTTTATAATTACGACAATACATTAAAAAAAATGATAAGAAATGCAATTTTGCAATATTAAACAGCATAATAAGTTCTGAACAGCTAAAAAAAAGAACGACGGTAATGACACCGGAAGTCCCGCAAAAGTAAAAAATGGCGCTCGCTCTTACACTAAGAACTAAGGAGATTAAATTCTTGAATAAAAATAAAGCACAAGCAACATCTATTTAAAACAGACTGATTCAAATCAAAGTAATAAACAGGAATACTAAGCATTTCTCACAGTTTGACAAAGGAGAGATGAAAACACTGTTCTGTAATACATCAATGTTTTATTTTTGGGACACAGAAACTCCTGAACTTCAACGCCTCTGTAGATTCATTCACACACCAGTGTTTGTTCCAGATGCGCAGAGGTAAGACTGGATAAAGTTAACGCAGTCATAAATAATTGTAATAAATATCAAGTAAATGTACAACACATATTTCACCGCGTTCAGCTTTTTGTGTGGATGTCTTTTCACAGACTTCTCCTACTCTTCTCCAAAGAGACGGCAAGAAAAAAATGAAGGGACTATCTTTGATAGCAGCAGTTGACCATATCAAAAAAATAAAATAATACACCCACACACGCGCACACACCCACAAAACCCTATTATAGTGCTGAAATGCTTATATTTTCAATGGAGTACATCTAAGGTAGCATCAAGTGTGTTTGTAATGATGGCTGTACATTACAGAACTCATAACGCAGTTAAATGGTTCACCAGAAATGCAACAACCGATTTCCAGGAACGATTAGGAAATCCTATAAAGAACACCCAATTTATATTTCAACTGCAAAACAGTATTATCTTTATAGACACAGAAAAGTTGAATTTAAAAATGCAAACAAAATTAAAATAGCCTTTTAAAAACATTTTCTCTTTGGGAGGGAAGGGGTTAAACGATGACCAAAAACTAAAGCGATTTGTAAATGTTGGGTTTTTCATGCACTAGAGTTTTGGGCGCAAAATCATCCCTCATAAGCAATGAAATTGACTGCAGCAGTGCCAATAGGTAACCTAAAAGTATTCAAGGATGAATGTTATTTTGGCAACCAAGACCATAAACTTAGCACCGCTCCAAACTGAAGAGAGCATGGCAGGGAGGATCTTTCATTCAGTCTGCAGCAAACGTTTTCCGCATCAGAGACCACTCAGAAATGAAATGGATACAGTTCAGCGCTCTTTATATTACTGTAGCTTGTTTCTGTAAAGTTACAGACCTGAACAGCATATGTACCTTTAATAATATAGGCAGATATTTGTGTCGTAAAGCAGTCTTGCCATTTATAGTTCAAATTATATGCTCGATCACATGCGTACTTGTAGTTCCCGGACAGAGCCTGTAGCTTCAACAGCTCCTTGAAGTGTTTGAATCATTGAGAGCGTAAAGCCTTTCAAGCCTCTAAACGGGTAAACCTCGCAAAACCTGTCAAGAACATACTCTGGCTTAAGGAAAATGAAGTATAATTTAAGACCATTGAGATTTTCTGGCATTACATTCATGATGATAATTAATTACACAACAGATGTCAGGTGTATTGCCTGGTCAATTTAGAACAAAACAACAGCACCACAAACAAAATAAAAAAACGTATCACGTGTATTACGGTAAGGAGAATTAGGGGGAAACAATTAATCAGGTGCATTATTCTAATGTATAGTATATGAGAATTTAAGAAAAATGCCACAAAAAGAAAAAAATCTGAGGTGTATTACAGTAATTGAGGGGAAATGCACAAAAAATTGAGGTGCATTAGGGTAGTGACAATTGGCAAGAAATGCAAACAAAAAATATCAAGTGAATTAGGGCAATGAGAATTGAGGGAAAACGCAAAAAAAAACAAACAAAAAAAATAACCCCAAGGTGCATTAGGGTAATGAGAATTGATGGAAACCGCAAAAAAAAAATAACCCGAGGTGCATCAGGGTAATGAGAACTGGGGGAAAATGCAAAAAAACAAAAACAAAAAAAATCTGAGGTGTATTAAGGTAATGACAATTGAGGGAAAAAGCAAAAAAAAAAAAGGCAAAACAAAAAACTGATATGCAGTGGAGTAATAAGGATTGAAGGCAAATAAAAGAGGTGCATTAGGGTAGTGACAATTGGCAAGAAATGCAAATAAAAAATATCAAGTGAATTAGGGCAATGAGAATTGATGGAAAAAGCAAAAAACAAAAACAAAAAATAAAATAAAATAAGGTGCATTAGGGCAGGTTTAGGCAAGTTCAGTCCTAGAGAGCCGCAGTCCTGCAGAGTTCAGCTCCAACCCTGAAAATTAGGGTAATGACAATTGAGGGAAAACGCCAAAAAAAGCAAAAAAAAACCTGAGGTGCATTAGGGTAATGAGAATTGGGGATATATGCAAAAAAAAAAACATTCATGGTACAAAAAGGGTTTATTTTTTGGACATGTTCTTGACCGGTTTCTTGAGATTCACCCCAAATGTATCCTGAAAGATGCAAGTATAACTTTGAGCGGAACGTTTAAGTCCTGTGCAAAGCTAAATTCGGCATCTCTGTAGATGAATGTGCATCAACAATCACTGTCACTAATGGAGAGAAGGTGCTGAGGCACACTGGGAATGCAATGATGAAAGACTGATTAAATGAGATGGAGAGCGAGAGAGAGAGATTAAATGTTTAAAAAGGGAGAAAAGCAGTTACAGTGCCATTTCCTTCACATTTGTTGAAGAACAGCACATGTAGGTCATTTTATAAAAATGTGGCATACTCTTCACCACCGCGAGCTGCTGTCAAACTCGCCGTCAAATGCACGCTAACGCTAGTCTCCGTAAAGGCAAGCTGGTCTGGGCTGATCAAGTTCCTTCATGACTATTCTTGAAGAAGAAGAAGTGAGAACTGAAGTAATCACTGAAGGTCGTGTGGTCGACGGGGATCTGAGGAATCAGGTTTAACCGCTGAGAGGATCCTCGCGATAGTGGATAGCATAGCGCAGCTTCTCCAGCATCACGTCGAGGGAAGAGTACTGCGGCAGCTTGACCATGAACATGCAGGTCTCCACGCGAATGTAACGCAGATCTGGGGAACCTGAAATGGATGGAAACAGAGTTAATAGCTTCACAACAATTCAAAACCAATGAAACAACTTTATTTAAATACTCAAGACCAATAGCGTTTTAAGAAAAGATGTTTTAGAACATTTTTCTATTGTCAGTTTACAGCTATGGAAGCTTATTTCCATAAATTGCTTTTTTACGCGTAATTGCAACTTTTTATCTCACAATTCTGACTTTTTTTTTTATCTTACAATTCTCACATTTCTTTCAGAGATAACAAGTCACATCATATTCGTATAGGCAAAAGATAAAACAAGCTGAGCACTGTTTATGAATGTGTTTATTGCCTTTTGGTTATCTTAGCAGCATGGTTATTCAAATTGGAAATAAATTATATACAGAAAGCAAGTGAAGAACGTTCCCCAAATCCTGTTATGATCACTAAAGCCGTCTACACCACTAAATAAAGCTCTTGCATTGTACTGTAACTGCAGTGCATGAGAGTGCAGAATTTGTTGGGCATTTTTGTTCATTTGTTAATTTCTGACCTCGATCTAGTCAACAATGAATGTGTGACACTCACCCACTGCCCCATCAGGCGGGGCGATCTTCATGGGGTAGGGGGGCACGTGAGCCGTGTCGGGGCCGCCGTCTTTACAGGGGCAGGTGAAGGGGATTCGCTCCTGGTTGCAAGCGAACTTGATGAACTTGCTGAGCTCCTCCTGCGTGAACATCTCGAGCGCGGCCCAGAAGAACTCAATGTGCTGGTCCGTCTCCATCAGTCCCACCTGATACATAGTGTGAGCCTGGATCGACGTGATCAGGAGAATGAGTTCGGTTAGTTAACTAGTTGGACGGCCCTGTTTGCACATTTGGTAAGCAAACGTGTAAAAAGTGGCACAATGTACAGTCAGTGGCATGTAAATGAAATTAAAATGCATTATAATTTAAATATACATTAAGTGCAACCCACTTAGTTAGGGCTTAAAGGGAGAGTTCACCCAAAAATGAACATTTGCTGTTAATTTACTCGCCCTCAGGCCATCCAAGGTGTAGGTGACTTTTCTTATACTGACCCGATACTGGTCTCCTGTACTCGTACTCGTACTCGTTAAAATGCCCCGATACCAAATGCCGATACCACACAGCATGTGATAAGCGCCATATTCAAACAAAGAAACACTGACAACAGACAGCAGAAAGGAGTTATGGATGTCTACTACGATGTATATGTATGCAATGAATATAATGTTAAACATTCAGTATTAACGCCTGTATAGCTGAAGTGCGCGAGCTGATAAAAAAAGCACGCTGAGTGGATTGAGCGCGCGGCGGCGCAGATGCGCGAGCTTGTCGAATGAATATATCTTTCTCACAGACATCACTGGAAAGTTTGTAGTTCGGTCAGATATGTCAAAAACAAGTAAGTAAAACAATGCACAAGTTACCTAACGGTAGGGAGAGCGAGAGAGAGAGAGACAGAATGTTGAAGGTGTCTGAATACATTTTGGTTTGACTGTATCTATTTGATAAATGAAGTTAACCAACTAACATTATACATACCCTTTTGGTTTCTGTACCTAATATTAAAAAAATTTACAAATGCAATAAAAATATCAGTATCGGCAAGTACCAAAAATAAAAGTATCGATATCGGGCGAGTACTGGAAAAAGTGGTATCGGTGCATCCCTACTTAACGTATACGCAACTATATTATTTAAATATCCAATAATCACATGAAATGGATGTTTTACATGTCTAAAGCATTTAAAGTGAATAAACTAGTCTTAAATCACATAAACCCTGAGAAACCATAGAAACGTTAAATTGGCTCTTCGGTCCGAGTCGAACTGTTTGCTCAGTTCAGTGACTGCTGGAGGAACTGGAGCGCTGAATGATTCATTCATCATAGGATCAGATACGCCAGTATTTCGGCTCATTTCCAGTCCGAGTGACTGAAAGTGAGTTTTGATTGAGTAACTTGTAGAACTGTGCTGCTCCAGCCGTGAATTGTTTCAGACGCTTCAGTTTAATTTTTTGAACTGGTTCAACTATAATAGCCAACATTTGAATCAAAACCTTCCATCAAAAGGTGTTCTAAAACCAAAATGCGTTCTTGTCTTAGGACAACTTTGATGAACGTTTCTGATCCACTTCAACTGCAATTCACTAAAAATAACCGTTTCAAAAAAACGATTTGTTTGCAAAACGGACACTTTGAACTGTTTGTTCATTATTTCAGGTAATAATGTTGCAAATAATGTTCAGTTTCTTGCACAGACCGATCGTTTCACTTCATAAGACCGCATTATATCATCAGGAGCCACGGGTATTCATTTTGTGTTGCCTGTATATGCTTTTTTGACTCTCAAAGGGACAGTAACTGCTGACTTGCATTTTAAGGATCCCCAAGGATCACGGTTTCAGCAAAAAATCTTCCTTACTGCTCAACTGAAGACAAAAAGTCACCTACGTCTCAAATGGCCTGAGGGTGAGTAAATGAACAGAAAATTTCATTTTTGTGCAAACTATCCCTTTATGTGCACTTCTTTTTCACGGGGGACTAGAAGTACACTACCGTTCAAAAGGTTGGGATCAGAAAGATTTTTAATGTTTCTTCTGCTCATCAAGGCTGCATTTATTTGATCAAAAATACAGGAAAAAATGTAATATTGTGAAATATTATTATCCACATTCTGCAGCTCCCGCCGGCGCAGATCTCGCACCGCTCGCACATACACATCTCTATTCTCCCAGCTGAACAAACACGCACACCACTACATGCATTAGAGATCCTCTATATATTAACTTCCCAATACATTTAAAAAGCACTTAGCATTTCTTTGCTCAAGAATCCCTGCAATAAGCACAGTACATCCATTTCTGAGTCCAATATAAAGTAAAACTTAAGCTTAAGATAATTCACCCAAAAATGGTAGCCATTGACTTCCATAGTATTTTTTATTTTTTTATATACTATGGAAGTCGATGGCTACCGTCAGCTGTTTGGTTACATTTTAAATTATGGCAAAAAAAGAAAAAAAATTATTAGCGATATGCTATGCGGACGGCCGACATACACTCCACATTCTGCAGCTCCCGCCGGCGCAGATCTCGCACCGCTCGCACATACACATCTCTATTCTCCCAGCTGAACAAACACGCACGCCACTACATGCATTAGAGATCCTCTATATATTAACTTCCCAACACATTTAAAAAGCACTTAGCATTTCTTTGCTCAAGAATCCCTGCAACAAGCACAGTACATCCATTTCTGAGTCCAATATAAAGTAAAACTTAAGCTTAAGATAATTCATCCAAAAATGGTAGCCATTGACTTCCATAGTATTTTTTATTTTTTTATATACTATGGAAGTCGATGGCTACCGTCAGCTGTTTGGTTACATTTTAAATTATGGCAAAAAAAGAAAAAAAATTATTAGCGATATGCTATTTACACTATGTGCAAATAGTGAGAGATACTATTTACACTATGTACAAATAGCAGGATTTTCTGCTATTTATACTAATTATTGCAAATAGTGGCAAATATCTGCACCTCAGTATTATAGTACATTACAAAACAGGATACAATAATAACATACTGATTGTAAATTATAATTTTAATTCAAATTATTAAATGGATGCCACTTTATTGGGACAATAAAGCCATCCCCATACTTTATTTTCAACTTTTTGATTATTTCCTATATTTTTATTGAAAATGAATGCCTTTCCGATGTGATATGTGACCCTGGAGCACAAAAGCAGTCTTAAGTCGCTGGGGTATATTTGTAGCAATAGCCAACAATACATTATATGGCTCAAAATTATCAATATTTCTTTTATGGCGAAAAATCTTTAGGACATTAAGTAAAAATCATGTTCCATGAAGATATTTTGTAAATTTCCTACCGTAAATATATCAAAACTTAATTTTTGATTAGTAATATGCATTGCTAAGAACTTCATCTGGACAACTTTAAAGATGATTTTCTCAATATTTAGATTTTTTTGCACCCTCAGATTCCAGATTTTCAAATAGTTGTATCTCTAATATTGTCCCATCCTAACAAACCATACATCAATGTAAAGCTTATTTATTCAGCTTTCAGATGATGTATAAATCTCAATTTCGAGGAATTGGCCCTTATGACTGGTTTTGTGCTCCAGGGTCACATATGAGATTTGAAAGGGGAGAAGAAAGAGGTCGGCAAAAGGCGGGTCGATCACACCAAACAGACTACGGTATGCGATTCACCATCTATGCCACTGGAGATGTTGTTTCACAGCCGTCTTTTGTAAGACTGACTCAATCTCAATCACATGTTGATAGGTGGAGTTAATGTAAATAGCCTCTCTGCCTTAAAATATCCTCTTTTAGGTTCAACAGAAGAAAGAAACTCATGCAGGATTGGAACGAATTGAGGGTGAGTAAATGATGAACCGTCCCTTTAAACAGGTCGGTCGATGGCTCCTACCTGACAGCGATGTCACTTCCTCCGTGGCACAGCTCTACTTCCTCTCCGGTCATGGTGATGTAAGTGAATGTGCAGCAGGGACGGCTCGGTGAATCCGGGCTCTCGCTCAAGTGGCTCTGCGACGAGACTTCAGCACACAACGCTTCCAGCTCCGCCTCATCGGCCAACTGTGACGATACGAGAACAAAAGAAGTACACCAGCATCCTTTTAAAAAGTGCACTTATTAGGGAAATTATATATTTAAGTATGCACCGATCGTAATGCTTTCTGACACTTAATTGCATGTCAATTGCAATTATATGACATGTATTATAGTTAAATTGACGTTAAATGCAATTGAACTTTACAGTGTTTTATGATCTACTTATATAGGAAGTAAGTACATTTTTATATGTCATTTCATAATTTATGGTACACTAATTTAAAAACAACAATTTATGGTAAACTAAAGGTTACATTTTCTTTTAAGGTGTCCGTAATTATACATTTAAGTACTGAGTAATATTAATTAACTACATGTACTTACTATATGATTAGGGTTACTTGCATGTAATTAATTATGCATGATTTATTGTTATTATAATAGTAAGAACATGTAACGTGTGTAACAAGGACACCTTAAAATAAAGTGTTACCAAACTAAAATATACTTTAATGCATTTCTGTTAAAACTTGAATGTCATGTATTTAAATATATGTGTAGTTACACATTCATCATGAAGCTGTGATTAAGTACATTTACATTATATTAACTTTAAAATCTGATATCAAATGATAAGCTACTGATTTAGTATGTTAGTCAAAGTCCAAATAAGTGTACTTCTTTTAAGCATTTTATATTGCTTTAAAAGATTATTAAAACAATGATTTAAAATGTAAAATAAAACTTGACATTATTACAAAGGTCACTTTTTAAAAGTGTACTTAAGTGTGTTTAGAAACAGTCATGAAAGTGTTTCTCTTTAAGTCACTTGAGTGGCCTTTTATTTCGTTAATATATTATCAGCAGCAGTGCTATTTTAATATAATTGAAATAATAAAAACTATAATACTATGTGGAATCAGTATTTATATTTTCCATTTTCCTTTTAATTTTTGTTACAATTTTTGTAAGTTTGTTGGGTGTTTTTTGTCATTTTTAGTATTTTTGTTTGTCTACATAGTTTTTTAAAATTAATTTTCATTAATTAAAATTTATTAATTTCAATTTTAATTAATTATTTCAATTTTAGTTATTTTAAGTACATGAAGTGAAACAAAAATGAGAAATGTTGCCTTTTTATTTCAGTTACCATTTATTTTATTTCAAGTAATAAAAATGTTTTTTTTAATTTTAATTATTATTTTAGTTTCAGTTTACTATAAGAACTCTGATCTGCAGTACAGTTTATATATATGTATATATATATACACACACGCTCCTTACAGACTTGCCACAAGAAATGCCTGAATGAGCCGCCTGAGAAAACACACGACAAGCAAGAAGCATGAAAACCGGATTCATGCTATTCTTATTATTAACTAAAACCATTAAAAGTATAAAATAAATAATAAAAATGTCAAAAGCACATGACAAACTTACCTAAACTTAAACTAAATTTCAGATTAAAACTGACCAACATAAAAATGCAAGTTATTTCAAAATATTAATAAACACTGTAATACTACATAAATAATACTGAACAGGGTGGAAGTACAGTTGCTTCATTGCTTAGTACACTATAAGCAACAAACAAATAGAAAATATAACTATAAAATTCATTAATTTATAATTTAAGGAGAGACTTTTTTTGCGAGTAAATAAAACAATGAAATTAATTAAATTAATTCCTTAATTTTTAACAATCTGTGACCGCATCAAACTTGAAAAGGAAGATTTATACTAAATACAATAAAAAAGTTGAAAAACTGTTGAAAACAGTTAAGTTAGTAGTGCTGCTACTATTAGCTACTCGTCGAATAGTGTTGATATTGTTAATGAAAACTGATTGAAATAAAATAAAATATAAATATTAAATGAAATACTTAAATGAAAATTAGAAATTGATGCACTGAATAACTGAAATAAAATATGTCGAAGTACTAAAATGACTAAAACTAAAATAAAAATAAATCCAAATAGAAATACGTTCTATGTTCAAAAACATTTTTGTCATTTTAAACCAAAATTACTAAAACTTGCTAAAAAAAAATGTAGTTAATTTTGTCCACAACCAGTGTTACTGTATTTGTTATTTGTATTGTAACTAAATTAAAAATCATTTTTGTTAATAGAAATGAAGCTGAAATAAAGTATAAATATTAGATGAAAAACTTAAACAAAAAGCTATGAATGCTGCCCTGTCATCAAACAGAAATCAAACCATTTTAAGTTCTAAAATGACTAAAACTGAAATGAATAAAAAAATCACATAACAAAATGACTAAAATTAAAACTGAAAACATAAATAGAAAGGCTCAAAATGTTATATAATGCTATATAAGTCGTGGCCTAATGGTTAGAGAGTCGGACTCGTAACCCAAGGTTGCGGGTTCGAGTCTCGTACCGGCAGGGAGTGAATGTACAGCGCTCTCTTCCACCTTCAATACCACGACTGAGGTGCCCTTGAGCAAGACACCGAACCCCCAACTGCTCCCCGGGCGCCGGCCTAATAAAAGGACACCTTTTCATTTACGGTATAATCTAATTTTGTTAAAAATAATCATGAAATCAAAATCGTGAATCGTGAGTTGAGTGAATCGTTACATCCCTACGCATTACTTTTTAATTTACAAGAAAATATCGAATATATGTTTTCCCATGCATTGACAGAGTTCTCCGGTCCCCATGTTGAGAGAAATCGGGAGAAAGTACAGAGGCATTTATTGTGTTCCCTATGTATGGTTAGTTCTAGACTAAATGTGAATGTGCATTTACTCATCTCACTTCCACAAAAAACAGATTCAGTATTGCTCAAAATGAATAAAGAACAGTGAAATGCAAAATCTGAATA